GGTATAAAATACATCATGTTTTCAATTAGAAATTATAGCGGTACCCCATTGAATAATATTATTTACCACCCTGTGTATTACATCAGGATTAATATTAATAGGTAAATTTCATATACCTAAGATGGGTTGAAAATTCTTGAGGGGCTAAGCCCCACCTAGCGATAAATCCTGGCTCCGCCACTGCCCGCGACACGTCTGGAAAATAACTTAACCGCGCCGCAGAATAATAAAAAAGCTACCGCCATCGCGACAGTATAAAAACGAAGGCTATGGTGCCAGTATTATCATTTTTAAAGATAGTATAGTAATTCTAGATATATACGTTTTATCAAGACCAACATTTATGGAAAAAGAAACGGATAATAAGAATGAAACTACGTTAGAAACAATGAAATAAATATTATGAAGAGAATTGTTTCAGCCATGTTGATGATAGCAAGTCAAGTCGTATTGACTGGCATGACAACCATTTTGATTCATGTTCATAATAATGAACCTGCGATTTATCACTAATTATAACTTGAAGAGAAAATTATTTTGTTCAATAGAACAATGAAGTAAAAGCTCTAAGAACGCTAGAGCATGTTCATTTTGTTGATTAGACAAGACAAAATATGGCACTTATTCTGGAAAAATTTCCGTTAAATGTTGTATTTGATGCATTGTACTAGTTGATTTTCTTATGGCATCACCTTTCTGATAAGTTCTAATTCGACAGTCTTCAACAATTTAAATGATTATTCTATCCGTCATAATATCTAGTTGTCTAAATCTAGGATTAATATGAATGTCTAACGGTTCACTTTTGAAACCATGAATCCATTCAAAAACTCCAGTACATGATGAAGTATTGTCACCGTAAATGATCATAAAAAAATTCATAAATGTTGGATGATGATTGTCTGTTCAAAACAAGAAACTGCTACTGAATGATACTCAAGTTTTTAGTTTTCAATCTGCCATCTAATCAAAGTTATCATATTACTAAATTAACACTTAGTCAACTACTTAGTGTCTATGATGTCCATAGATAGAGAAGTATATAAGTCATACTGAATATAGCAAAAGTTTTGCGACATTCTGTTATTCTGTTTACATGTCGACTTGAGAAAATGATAAAATCTTAATTTTTCTTTTAAAAGATGGAATATGAAAAACTATACAAATAAATGCATAAGGGAATCTTTATGAACTGGCTTGAACAAGTTTCTCGTAGTCATTATTGACAACCTATATGATACTACGATTTTCCAGCACAATAATAGTGCTTGCAAGTTGTTTTTTGTTTTTTCATATATATCTTAGCTTTGCAAAATGGTATACAACTAATTCTTTCTTTTAAAAGATGTCCCATAGGAAGCTCTCTTATAACCACATCAACAAATCCTTAATAACGGATTCCGATGCCCTTTCTATTCTCAAAAACCAAAAAGTGCATAATTGACCGCTCGATTTTATGCTACATTCCATTTTTGTTTTGATAATATTCTAGTTTTCGAAAATGATAGAATGTAAATTTTCATTTTAGAAGATGCGTCGTGAAAAGAACTACAAAATAAGTGTAGATAAACTCATATTAATGTACAGCTTTTTTAAACTCAAGAAGGGCAATTGATACGGTAGCCCTGTTACCCCTCATTTAAGAAGATTTTTCCTTGTCTTGTATTTATCTCGGCTTTGACAAATAATAATACCTCAACTTTTTTTTTTGAAAGATGCACCGTCAAAAGCTCTACACTAGCTGTATATACAACTCCGTAAAGAAAAACGAAAACGTCGTCGATATATTCCTATTTCTTTGATTACATTGGGAAATCACAGTGCCATATAGGTTCTCAATAATGACTACGAGAAAATCGTTCGAACCAGTCAATAAAGATTTTCTTATACATTTTTTGTATAGTTTTGCATGCTCCATTTTTTAAAAAAAAAGAAAAATCAAGATTTTATCATTTTCTCAAATCGACATGTAAACAAAATAAAGAATGTCGCAAAACTTTTGCCACATTGAGCATATTGACAACAAGTTTAACCAATTATTAGTAGTGATTTTGGTTGATTTTACGATAAAATCAGATCGGAAACGTCTTCAGTATGAATGAATTGACAACTTTTCATCCATTCTTTGTTTCTTTTTCTGTCTGTATATGTTGCGATTAGTAAAAAGTCTTATATTTTTAATACAACATCCTTTGAGAAAAATTGATACATTAGATTTTTTCCCATTTCAGAATTAGGTATACCTATGAAATGAGTAAACTAACTGTTTTTACTATTGTAAATTTGTTCTGTGTGGTCATATTGCTAATGTGGGAAAGACTCATCTGTAGTTAAATCAACGGGTTTTCATTAATGAAAACCGAGACCACACAACTGATTCGAAGTCTTTATACAAATTGAACATTTGTGAAACTGAAAATGACGTAGTATTTGTCTTTTCAAGAAGTTATTTTTTAGATAAAATAGTATATATAAACAATGTGAAAAAATGAAAAATAGAAATTTTAGAAGAAATATTATCAATCATTTGGTATATTGTCACTAGATGATCGATTCCAAACACCCTTTTAAAAATCGATGGTGGTGTTTTATGTCTACTTTTGCTGACTGAAACAAAATCATGACTATGGTTTTCATTGCTGTATCTCGTAAAGCAGCAGAGTTCCAGGAACGTTTCACCATCATTTTTGTTCGCTAAAATAAAGATGACGTTTATGAAAAGAAACGATCGAAACATAATCTGTAGAACGGTTCTGCACATAGATGTAAGAATCTACTGTTTAAATAATGCGTTTCTTTGTTTGTTTTCAGGTTAAAAACACGTATGAATCAAATGTTCGATTGGTGTAATAAGTTTCGAATTATGCATATACAGATATTTGTAGTTTGTATGTTTCTTGGCTATTGGCTACCTTTAATGAACAGCTATTCAGCAGAGTGGTTGGAATTATCATCGTATGAAATTAATGGATCCTTGACAAAGGCTGAACAGTTCTATCGAGCCTACTCTAGTAAGTAGTTCCGATTAATTTTCATTAGAAAAACATATAAGTAGACATGAGCGGGACAAGCCTTTTTTGGTCCCGGTCCCGATGAAAAAAAATTTTGGACCCAGACCCGGTCCCGGTTCAGGCTAAAAAAATTTTTGATCCCGGTCAGAAAAAAATTCAATACTGGTACTGAGGTTAGCAAAAGTTTTGTCAGTATAAACCTTAAGATTATTTTCTACCATTGTTTATAAGTTTGAAACATCTGCCTGCTATACTGCAAGTTATTTAGTCACTAATATCCTCCTTCTTGGATGCTCAATTAGGCATGAATAGGACAAGTTGTTCTAGTTTGGTCCTAGTGAAAAAATTTTTTAGTCCCGGTCCCAGTTCGGTCCCGGTCCTGACGGGATCGGGACTACTTTACCCATCTCTACATATAAGAGACCATTCCTTGCATAAGATCATCTGTCGTAGTAAGCATGAGGTAAAGTGAAAGCCACGAAAATAAGACTAACTGTTCAGTTAGTCAATGAATCACTTTCATTGAACTTTCACATTATTGATAAATGTTTCCTATTTTTTATCTCTTTACAGAACGATGTTTATTGTGGCCACCTTCATTGTTATCAGTAATTCCTATTGATAATATTAATAGCTACAAGTCCATGAAAATATTAATCATCTTACTAATTTGTGGATCCTACATATTCATGATGGGGGCGGAGATCATATCGAAACCTGAATCTGATGTTCCACTAGAGAATCCTTATATGTGGTTTTGTTGGTGTCTTAAGATATTTATTTATCTTGTCGGCTCGTCTATATGCCATCAACTGGCTACTGCATTAGCATGTCGACCGATGGAAATTCTCTATGATTTACGATACATATCAATGCTCATCATGCAAATCATCGGCTTTTTCATTTGTCTATCGTTTGCCTTTTTTCTCGGTGTCAAGTTTGCATCAATCAAGACCATACATCGATTATCAAAATGTTCTAATAGAGTTATAATAGTGTAGATTAGAAATATTTATTAGGAATCTTATTTTTCTTTGTTGTTCAACATTACTCTATGCATTTAAAGATTGTTAATTGAATTATTTTAATCAAAATATTTACGATCACTCAATCAAGAAAAATTTTTCATTTGATATACATTAAATGTGATATATGAGAAAGAACTTTTAAATTTCATTATTCCGTATGAATTGTAAAAGCGAGTATATTTTTCTACAAAAATGTCAAAGGCTCTTCGAATAGCATAGAAGATAAAAAAATGGATTTTTTGTTTTTACTTTTATTTTTTTTTATAATAACACCACTTTAACATTAAAAAAAACATAAACAGCCAGAAAGAACAATATGAGTTCCGCCAGCTATCAAAAAATGTGCATAATCAAATATATCGACAAATGATGCAATAAATGAAGCAATACCGATTGCTACACCAAGTAATTTTGTCATTTTTGCACTTATAAAATCAAATAATTGATCATTTGATCTAATACCATCTATTGCAATAATAACACCAAGAAAACCTTCCGGTAAACGTTCATATTTCACAATAAAACGTCGTTTATCATTCTCTTGACTTGCAAGATAACATTGCAAAAAATACGTGAGAAGTGGCAAAATTAGATACATAAAAATAAAAAACATTTCTCGTACAACATAAACACATGATTTAACACCAAATCTTATCGCCATCTAAAAACACATACATATATATATATATTAACATAGACACACGTTTAACAACATGATTTGCAATCAATAATATCTGAATAAATGATGTATAAACACATGTACAGGGTCGGAAAGAATATTATTCAAGGGGGGTAACGATATAATCCCGAATAGGAGGTATGATAAATTTTATACCAAATGAAAGCCCGTGAAAAATGGGGTTTATTGATGTTAAATAGTAAGGGTTATGTAAACCTTTTAATATCGAACTTAAGAAACTTTCAGAAATTTTATACATTTTTGGGAGTAGAAAAGGAAAGTGCTAGTAATTCAAAGATGGAGTAAAATGTTTTTCTTGGATATTTTTACATAGTTCGATAGAGCTCGTCGAGCTCTACAAGACTGTATATACTAACAATTTTTTAAGCTACTTTTCTGTGATAAAAAATTTAAAAAACTATTTGGAAAATCTTAAAAAACGCAAAAAAACTGATATTTTTGATATTGAAGAAAAATACTCGACTTTGCAATAAAATTAGCTTTTTTGGTTATTTTTACTCCCCCAGGCGTTTCAAAATATACTCATTTGATGCAGCGTGAAAAACTGCACCGAATGAATATATTTTCAAACATATTATATAAGGACACTAATGGAAAACAACTGAATTTATTGTAAAACAGACCACTTTTTTCGCCTATAAAAACTGTACAAAATGCCGATTTTTGGGTGTTTTCTTTAGACAGCTTTCATTGAATTTCAATCCAAGGATCCTGTTTAAAAATTTTTAGTATATGCAGTTTTGTAGAGCTCGACGAGCTCTATCGAACTATGTAAAAATATCCAAGAAAAACATGTTACTCCATTTTTGAATTACTAGCACTTTCCTTTTTCTACTCCCAAAAATGTATAAAATTTCTGAAAGTTTCTTAAGTTCGATATTAAAAGGTTTACATAACCCTTACTATTTAACATCAATAAACCCCATTTTTCACGGGCTTTCATTTGGTATAAAATTTATCATACCTCCTATTCAGGATTATATCGTTACTCCCCTTGAATAATATTCTTTCCGACCCTGTACATAAGTAATGCAAAGAAACAACAAAAGAACAACTGTTCAAAATAACAGATCATTTTGTACAATTCTTTGAACGGCAAAAATATGAAAATAACGAACGACATATATTATAAATTTATCATTGATAATGATGATGATAGTACCATTATTTCCTAAATCAAATAAAAAAAAAATCTTTCTTTACTTGTCAAATATAATTAATCAATTTACTTGAATGAATGGTGATTGTATAGTTTATTGTTGATAAAGACTATTATTCCACATTATCATTGGTAAAGAAAATACAGCTGAAAATAAAAAAACAATATTTTTAATTGATTTCTCTAAGAGTCTTATTATCATATTGTTGATGTGGACTATAAATAGGATGAAACATTTATAGTATTGTTTGCATTGATAGATTAACAATCCAATCAGCAAGTATATTAACAATTGTAGGTAGTGATTAATGATATTCTCCATATGATAATGGAATTGATGGTGGTTATAATGGAATATTTGTTGTTGCCATTTGTGGTGATGAAGATGGACAAGTATTATCTATTTAGATTTATTGATTAAAATAAATGATAAATATTTGAACAAACTTGGACGAAAAGATTTCTAATCATTTGAATAATGTTTATTTGTAGCCATAATTTCTTTACGTTTAAAAGCTCGTTTACATTCAATCCAATAAAAAAAAAAATTATTTTAATTATTATCAAATCTAAACAAATCTAAAAAAGAAAAATCTTTCTTTCATAAAGATTAAAAATTCTTGTTGAACAAACATTTTTTTGTTGTTGTCATATCATCAAATGTAACAAAACTATAATCTAAATTAATTTGATTGAATATGTTATTAATAAACCTCTATGTTGACCATTATATCGATCATAAATAATAAATGTTTCTTCAACTTAAATCAATTTAATTATTTAAAAAGAAATTTTGTTAAATTAAATAACAAACTTGTCCATAAGATTGAAAAAAATCTTCTGGTCCAACTGATGATGGAGGGTGTGGGTGTGGGTGTGGTGGGTGGGTGTGTAGGTGTGTGTGTGTGATGAGAAGATATCCGCACCCACACTCACACGCTCATCCACACCCCACACCCGCAACCACAGCCACAGCCACAGCCACAGCCACAGCCACACCCACCCACACCCTCGGCTAATGTAACGCTTATATAAACCGTTCAAATGAAAGATGCGAAAATTTATCTCAAATGAAATGATGTATCTATTCTCGAACAAACATATAGACCTACATTTTTTTCAAACTTCTCCTTGTTTTTTTTCTTATAATCAAAACTAACACAACAAAATAAAAATAATAATAAACTGAAAGTATCATTCAAATAATTGTATAGCTTGATAATTAATTGAAACTTGTTATCAAATGATGATTGGCTATGTTTGAACAAGCATACTACAATAGTGTTGGGAACAAGCAACTTTGTTGATTCCATATTTTTGAAGAGTCCCTTAATTGTTCAATTGCTTCTCTGATTGTTACCGAGAAAATATTCGTTCGGTCTCATTTTCACGTTGGACGATGAAACAAAACCAGGGTGTTAGTGTGGGGTGTGGGTGTGGGGTGTAGGTGTGGTTGCCGTTCATTTCTTCGCTCACACCCACACCAATCCCCATACCGACACCCGCATCTACATCTACACCCACACCCACACACCCACACCCACACCCACACCCACCCCCACCCCCACACCCTGCACCAGTTCCAGTAGCTGGATGTGGGTGAAGAGAATACAAACATCCATATCTACATCCTTATGCCTTCGTTTTTACCGTTAGTAACTTCAAACATTAAAACTATCGAAAAATGTGGATGGATATATCGAATAAATATGAGTTTTTGTTGTAACTAGAATACAAATATTGATGTAATATTTAAAAAATAAATCTACCTGAATGAAATAACAAATGGTAAAAATAATTTGAAAGGAAAATTTTGATTTTATTGTTTTTTGTTCTTGAATTAGTTCTAAATGCTGCTGAACCTTATCTAACAATCGCACGAATTTATGAAGATCACAATGACCATGATAAAGCATTCGAAGTGAATGAATTGAATATTCTTTTTTTTTTTTAGGAGAAAGTTTTATCTTTTTTAATCAAGATGAATTTTGTTGCTGCTCATTGTTAACGTTCAAAAGATTTATGGCTTTGAATGCTTGCAGAATGTCAACAACGAAAAGCTGATGATTTAATAACGACTTATTATAATCATAGTAAGTTGTTTTGTTAGAGCAAAGGGTGTGGGTATGGGTATGACTCTTTCTTGAATAAATACCCACACTCACACCCACACCCACCCTATAAACGTTTACCAATCTATTCCGAAAATGCTATTGAAATGTATAAAGAAAAAAAACGTGAACAAATGTCACCACATATATTTGCAATAACTGATGATGTATATCGCTTAATATTACAAAATCGTAAGGATCAATCAATTTTATGCACGTAAGATTTTAGAGAAAAGAAAAAGAAAAGTTTTGAACCTTCTATCTCTTTTATAGAGATGAGTCTGGTGCTGGTAAAACTGAAAACACAAAAGAAGTTATTCAATATTTGGCTTATATTGCTGCTGCACCAAAAAGTTCACAACGGTAATTGGCGATAACACTGAATCAAAATCAAGTACAGACAAAACAAAATAATCATTTAATGAATTTTTTTTCAAGTTTTATTTGTGAAGGTGAACTTGAAGTTCAAATTGTACAAGTAAATACAATTCTGGAAGATAATAATAAAAACTTTTCTTTTTTTTGTGCTAAAGCGTTTGGTAATGCAAAAACAGTTAAAAATGAGAATTCATCACGATTTAGTAAATTTATTCGTATTAATTTTGATATATCGAATTTTATCACTGATGCGTCAATTGAAAGATATTCACTTGAAAAATCTCGTAAAATATATCAAGCTAAAGAAGAGCGAATATTTCATATATTTTATCATTTATTACATGGTGCTAATACGAAAATGATTAGAAGATTTTAATCGTTATCGATGTTTAACACATAATCATCTAACAATATCAAGTATTGATGATGGTGAAGAATTTTAAAGTACAGTTAAATCTATGCAAATAATGAATATATCAAATGATGATTAAAATTCAATATTTCGCACAATATCACCTGTTTTATAAATAGATAATATGCAATTTAAACAAGAACATAATAGTGATCAAGCAACATTATCTGATGATGCAATTACACAAAAAGTTTGTCATTTATTGGGTATTTCTGTAACACATTTTGTACGATCATTTTTAAAATCAAAACTTAAAGTTGGAAGAGATTTTTTTTACCAAAGTATAAACACAAGCTCAAGTAAGTTAAAAGATTAAGTTTGGTTTTTGTTTTGAAAACAAGAAGACAAAAAAAAATAATGAATTCATATAGTGGTTAGGACAGACATAGCTGAATGATTACGTTGTGTTGTCATATATTCGCAAAGTACTGCGTTCGAACTTCGACACAATCAATCATAGGAGTTTGTCTTGGATTGTTTGTCTGATAATATGCTGATTACATTGTGACATACAAGTTCCCTTGTGATTAATTTATGTATATGGCGAGCTCAAGAACTCTGTCTCAGGTATCGAGATCTTGAGTCTGTCGTTTGACATCAGTCCTTACGGCAAGGTAGCCGATAGGCAGAATTATTCTTTCTTCTATGTCTTTGAATGTTAAATCGGCCGTTTTCATTTTGAATCTTTCTATTCGCATTTATAAAGTTCTGAAGACTAAGAATCCGACTTTGGATTCCAACTTATACATATTCTTTTAAAATTAAAAAGAAATGTGAAATTTTTGAAAAGTTAAAAACTACTTCTAAGATACAGTCGAAAGTAATCCAAAAAAAATTTCAATCCAATCGGACAAAACCTAGAGAGAGATCGTAAACCAGTCCGATGAAGTCCTATAGAAAACCTTGTTTTCTCGAACATTTATCTTCTTATTTGAGGTACTCTATCTCTAGTCAAAAAAGCCTTTGAAGATCTTCTGAGACTCTCTTCATTTCATTAAAACTAATTTACCTCGAAGATATGTTCACTGTCTTTCGAAAGAGACAAAAAAAAATGACAAACAACATTGATCATGTTTGTTGTACATTTAATATTTGATTAAGTTGATTATGCTATTGAAATTATATCAAAAATAATATATGAACGTATGTTTAAATAAATTGTAGCACGTATCAATAAATCTCTTGATCGAAGTAAACGATAAGATTCATCATTTATTGGTATACTTGATATAGCTAGTTTTGAAATTTATCAATTAAATTCATTTGAACTATTATATATAATTTATACAAATGAAAAGTTTCAACAATTATTTAATCATAGTATAATGTTTGTTCTTGAACAGGAAGAATATCGTCGTGAAAGTATTGATTGAGAATTTATGAATTTTAGTTTTGATCTTCAACCAACAATTGATCTTATTGAAAAAGTAAATCAATGATGAAAATAAAAAACAAAGAATTAATTTTGTACATATTTTTAGCAAATCGGTACTTTAAATTTATTAGATGAAGAATGTTGGTTTCCAAAAGCAACCGATCAAACATATGTCGGTAAATTAATAAATTTACATGTTCAACTTCCAAAATTTGATTAAAAAAAATTAAGTTTTTTGACTTTCTTTTATTTTTAAAAACTTTTTCTTTTTAGAAAAACAAAATTATAAAGTATCAGCTGATTTTAATTGCTAATGACTCATTTACATGTGAAATATGAAAAAATCGTAAGATTATTTATTAGTTTTTAATAGAATAAATTAATTTTAATATTCAACAATTATTTGGACTCGTTTTCTTATGGAAAAAGTTATAAAACAAAAATATTGTTTATACTAAACCAAGTTAATTGTTGATATTGTTTTGTTATAAGATAGAAATAAATAAGTCAAAGTTTTCATTAAAAAAAAAAGCAATTGTTCTTTTCACTATTTTCCTGATGATATTAATCATTATTTGCTTCGTCGTCTGTACTTTGAAATTGTTTATTATTCACATTTTCTTTCACTTGCATACAACGTTCACCTTCTATATTTATCCAATATTTTTTGAAACGAAACAGACGTCGAGATCTCGGCATGGTATTTTGGAAATGAAGTGCAACACGTGCTCGTTCTAAGTGCCTTTTTTGTTTAGAAAAAATAAAGTAAAGTAATAAAAAAAAAAATAAGCAATAGAAATAAATAAAACAAACCATAATTTTTTAGCACTTCTTTTTACATTTGCATATGTATCACCCATCATAGCAATAAGTAAATTTAACAAAAGAATAGTAATAAGTACAACATAGAAGATAAGTAATATAACACTTGTCAATGGATATTCTCCTCCAATATAATAATCAAGATCAAAATCACCTAATAAACCCAGAAAACATAGTTTGAGACTTGATATATAGCCTTGCAAACCTAAAACATATCAAAATCATTTATTTAGTATCATAATTTCATTATAAATTAAGTTTTCTAAAAATATTTTCTCTATAAATGAAATATTTATCCTTTGAAAAATTTTACCATATTCATTGAATAAAATACAAAATGATTGTGCAAAGCCAGCAAGAAAAATTATATATATTATTAAAAAACGAAGAACATCATTGAATAACATTTTATAAATCATAATAACAAATGGACCAGTAAATTGAAATGGCATAATAAAAAAAAGCATATGGCCCCATCCAATAAGAGAAGTAAAAGCAAGTAGTTGAGTTTCATATTGTTGCATTTCAAATAGATGAAGAATTTCACAAATAAAAATACAAAAACAAAATGAACATATCAAACAATTTCCAAGAAAAGTAGACTCCTAAAGCATTCATATTAATCAATTAAATCTAAAACAATTAATCACTTACTGTAATTTTCCAGTAATTCCGGAAACCCAACCTACGCATGTCGTTTATTTCATATGCACTTCGCCATGCAACACCTATTATTATAATAGTATGACCGACTGAATAGAGGAATTGATCAAAAACACTCAAACATTTGCCATTTGTTATTCCTGTTTTTTTATCGAGTTCACTCGCTGTCTAAACATATATATATATGTATATTTCATAGTTGACAAAAAAAATATTTTGTTAAATTACTTTTTCTGATCTTGTTTCTCGTAAAGTTGTTGTGGCAAGAAAAACAAGTAGATAGAGAAATACAATAAAAAATCGTCGAATAAATATTCGATAAGCAAAAGATCTCCATTTTTTGTCAATTAAAGATATAATTATAGGATTTATTAATTCTGCATTATTTTTTTTAATCATTATTTCAAGTACACTAAGAGATCGTTCTTTATTCTTAAATAGAAATCCACTAGATAAAAAATATTTCTATGAGAGTTTAACTCACATCTTGATGAAAATCAATATCAAGTTGATTGAGAGGATGTACAACACATGAAACATTACCATAAGACCATAGTGTTCTTTTACGTTCTTCTAGTAACCATGATAACATTTCAGCTTGACCTAAATCAGCTGCTAGAGTCAATGGTGTTAAACTATCTTTATTTAAACGATTCCATAATTCTGGTGGTTCTGTTAATTTCGAATCAGTTATTTTTTTGTCATTATGAACAGTCTGTTGTTCTATCCAACGAGCTTTGAATTTAGCATAAATTTCGGGTAAATTGCAAATAACAAGCATATGCAATATGGTATTACCATTACTGTCCGTCTAGATATAAATATAAAGATATCAAATGACAGTTTTACTGTATGCCCAGGTCAAGAAGTATGGGCTGGTTCGTGCACGAGAATATCGAAAATTTATAAAACATGGAAGTAGCTTTTCAGTGGAAATCGGGATTGACATTGCGCGAAAAAATATGTCTCAATGAGAACTAAAGATTATAGTTAAAAAATTTACTGCTCTAAGCGAGTTGGGTTTTAGATACTACAAATAAATTCTGGAATATATTTATCTAAATTGGAAGTAAAAACAAAGTTGGTGTCGAATATCTCTAGCTCAAAGATTTATTCTTCTTGGCTTTATACATGCAGCATTTAATATATTTTTTTCTTCACTAACCACATCCATGTCAGCACCATATTTGAGTAAGATTTCAACCATATTCCATTGATTGGTACAACAAGCAAATCCTAATGGAACTTCACCATAATAAGATAGTTCACCTCTATTAAATATACATATGAAGTAAAAGACAAACGAGAAATACCTTACATTTTAAAGAAGCTACCGGTAGTTCTTGCTGTCAATAATTGTTGACGAAAGGGCTCTAAATGATCATTACTAAGTAACCATTCAACCATAGCTGGATTACGTTGAACAATTGCAATATGAAGAATATTCTCACCATGATATTTCTATAAAATTTATATGTATTATTCAAATACAAAAATCAATCTAATATATTTACTGAGTTATAATAAGTTTGTGTTACGATCGTTGGAAATCGTAGAATAAGATCTCGAGCAATATCAAAATGTGCATCTGTTCCACGTCGAAATAACACATGAATAGGGCACTCGCCAACAGCTCCTCTTTTATTAATAAGATCAGGATCAGCATCGATGAAACGATCAATTGCAATTTTGTCTGCATTATATACGGCTCTCCATATCGTATTATCTTCAAGCATAAGTTCAGTTTGTTGTTCGACTTCAGAGTCATCTGAAGTAGCATCAACATTTTGTAGTGGGAAAATAATATTGTCCATTATATTAGTGATGAAAAAACTAATAGCATTTGCCATTGTTATTGTAAAATTTGAAAAATAAATGTTGATAACAGTCTTTTTTTTTGTGTCTTATGTTTAGTTAAGCATGACGCTAAATGTAGTTTATTACACGTTACTTTACAATTTTTATTCGTGGGATGAATATCGAGATATACACGGATATATATCAGTCTTTGTTTCATTCAGCGACGTTACAAAAACGTGTGTTTTTTTGCATTCTGTTTTTTTTGTAGCTTTTTTACTTTACAATGGTTTGACTGGTCATTCAAGCATGAAATTGAGAAAGCATAGATATTTTTGTTTATATTCATACGGATCACTTTGCTTGCTATAGGTTCAACGTTCTTTTCAATTACTATCTACATTTAAGAATACTATTAATCTCTTTCATAGTTTAAAATTCGTGTTAATACATAGAAAACAATGACCTTTCAAAAAAAGTTTGATTACGACGTAAATTAGCATAAGTTATGAGAGTCTTTGATTTTCGAGAAAATTGTTATTTTTTTCTTACCAAACTGTGTTGTTTCTTTATAAATTTTTTAAAATCATTTCACCCTTACTTTGAAACATAAAAGTATGTATCATTGTATGATACTAATGGAGATATACCGGATGTCCCAAAATAATTGCAACATCATTTGTTTTGTGAACATTTTTGCAAAGACAAATGATATCTATAAAACCTGTATTAATAAACTTCTTTAGACATGTTCTTATAGTTTCTTTCATGGTCAAAATGAAAAACATGCATAATAGTGCTACTTCCCACAGCATTTTGTATAATAAAAATGGTTCAAAGACATTTTTCTTTTACATGTACCTTATCTTAAGAAAATAATAAAATCTTGTTTTTTTTCTAAACGATGCATTGCTAAAGTCTTTACGAAAGGTATATAAATAAACTAGCGAGAACTCATACATACTGCACGGCAGTGTTTCTTTAACGTACGACCTCAAAACTTTAACCTTTCACTCGGTAACAGACACACAAACACTCAACATTATGTACATAGAAGCCCTACGGCGTGATATCCTTATATCGCTAATAGCCCATGTCACCTTACGACCTTATAGGCTTATCCCTTTATAGCCTTACTCCTTTATTGCTTTACTCTTAATATATATATTCATAATAAATGAAACAATAACTGCGGCTTTGTATAACATTGTAAAATTTTATTTTCGAATAAAAAGACAATAATTCGACGTTTCGGTAATCTATGTCATCATTTTCAAGATCTATTAAGATCTTAGAAAATTGTACATTGAACAAAGAAAAGAACGAAAAGAAAAGGAGGAAAAGAGAGAGACCAAAAAAACGAAGATACAATATCAAACGACTTTTAAGTTTCATTAATGATCAGGATTAGATAGCAGAACTCTCAGCAGACCATCAGGAAAAACAAATAATGGCACCGAATGTGTTGTTTTATTGAGTTCTAGTTCATAAGACTTGATCAATAATGATTCCTTAATTAACAAACGATAATAATGATTATCTTCCCATATTATCTGACCCATGGCGTAAATTTCTGCGAAAAAAACGCGTTTTTCCATAGCTGCGAAACGCGTTAATGCTGGCCGATTTGATGCGTTTCACATCTGCTGAAACAGACGCTGTGTAACGATTGTTTTTGTGGAAAATTTCGCAGCGTTTCTCAAACTGTGGTATCGTATATTCTGGATGGAAAAAAAACTGAAAACCGTCAATGACTTCATAGATCTTGAGTTGCAGGTACAATTTATGTACTCGTTTACATTTTTTCATAGACCTTTAGAACTATAACTTACATGAATTTTGATGCAGTCAAGACATGGATTCGAACACGGGAACATAGGAGTATAACATACGTATACAAACCGTTCAGCTAAAATAATCTAATGACATAAGTGTTTA